GAATTAGCGTGTATTCTTAATCATATCATTATGTTGCATATAAGTAAGAGTTTTAACCAATCATAAATGTCCCATGTATGTGCAGTCTGGGTAAACAAAAAAGACTTTTTGACCTTTCTTGATCTGTCACTCATTGGAATTCTGCTGGTAATTCTCTATTAATTTAGCTAATTATGAATTAATTATGAACATGTGAGACAAACTGGTATTTTTCCAAGTCATAAGAACACCTCTTCTTTCTAATCATATAAGTATTAGCATTTTCATTTTCATAAATGACAATAAGGGAACCCATCTTTAAGTTGGTTTTCAAGAATATGGCACCAGATATTCAAGTGCATTTTTATTGAAATCTGTGTTGTTAGCTCTCCATTGCATTAAGACTAAATTATAAATTTGAGAATGTTGGATTTATTTATTTGTTTTTATATTTTATTTCTAGACTAGGATATGCTGTATACCTTATGAAACATCTACTTGAATTTAAAGAACAGAAGCTCAACATCATGTATGATATTGAACGTATCCTAGATGCCCATTTAAAGGTTAGTTAGATTGATTTGATAATCTTTTCAGTAGTATAGAGACTTTAGAGTGATAAACAGGGACAAGTGAATAAGTAGGGAGACATTAAACCAGATATACGTATATTTCAGGTATATAACGGTATTGGAAGCTGAATTTTAATAAGTTCAAATAGTATGAAATAAGTAAAGAAAATAAAATAGTGTAAGGTGTCATAAATAAACAACTTTGATAATGTTTGTACCTCAAATTAACTATGTAGACATGGAATTAGCCTGGTTGAAGTGTAAATAAAAACAATTATGTTTTGTAACTTAAATGATATGATATGTCATAACTGTTAGTTAAGCTTGCTTGTTCCAGAAACATGGAAATGGAGTATTGGAGAACAATGTGCTATCAATCCCAATCTATACAGTTGGTTGTCAGGTATGAAAGTCATAGTCTGTGAAATCAGTACAAGACATATAAGATTTTGTGTAATATGATAAATATCTGAAGACAATTTAAATATATAACAATGATATGATTAATATACTGATTCCCTATTCAGATTCTCTACAGCCCAAGAATGATTACTGATTTAGGACTTACAGACTGCGAATCTGTAGAGAGATTCAGGTCCTATTTAGGAAAATTTTCATGCATTATACCAAAGAGACAACGCATGAAAATCGCATTGATATTTTGGTTTCAGGATTGATCTACTACAGCTTCAAATTAAGAGAAAAAATAGGTACCTAGTTCAAACATATTTTCATTATAACCAGTATTTAGTCAAATGATAATATAGAAAGGTTTCAGTTTTTGTTCAAATTGGCCAATATTCAGGGTTTTCCGCTCTAATTTTTTATCAGTAGCATGTTAGTCGTTATAAGGGTAAAACCTGTCTCTTATATTTTCATTTTTTCGCATGATAAAGGGATTGTTCTTCTTATTGTTTTTACT